CAACAACCATTTTGGTGTGAACTAGATTAAGTTGGTGAACTGTGGAAAGTGGAGAGCATAGCATAAGACCAGATGAAGCCTGATGAAGCAGGACTTCCACAGGTGCAAGGGATATAATGTCTACAGGTAATATACATGTAAACCTATAGCAATGTCACTTGACCAAGTTAAGAGATTGTGGCCAAGCCATCACAACACTCAAACCTACTCTTGAAGTATATATGTTACATTCAAAATATACGAAATGATACAAAACGATATTTCCTTCACTGTTAATCATTGATGATGATCAAACAAATAAGTATCCATGAGAAAATTATTCAATAGTAATAAAAATAAAAAAAATGAAAAGTTGCTTTATCTCAAAATCAACTATACAGCAGACTCAACTTCGCTGATTTTTCTATAAATGGTGTTTCCTAGAGGGATTAAAGACTTGTCTTGACTGTTGACACCTCTGGCTCAGTGTTTCAGTTCCAAGATCACAGGGAGAGGCTATCAGTAAATATTCAAAAAAACTTACTTGTCTGAGCCCTCAACCTTTATGCTGGCTTTCTACAAGATATTGTTAACTCTGAGTTTTACCTCGTGGTTGCTGGAGTCCTGGGGTAATTTCTTGGAAAAGATGTAACTTTGCATGTGAGAAAATGTGGGTAAATATGTAACAAAATAAATATGTGCCAAACTACTGGCAAATTCAGTCAAAGACAAAATTGTCAAAAGAATCAGGGATTTGATCATACATAACAAAGGTCATGACTGGTCAGCTAGGTAAATGGTTGTTTTATGTTATAACTTGAAGAGTTGACAATTTTGGAAAGAATCTTCATTTTGTACTTTTTGTGTTTAAAGTTCAAAAGTTCTATTTTAATGTGTTTATTTCTTGTTTATTTAATGTCAAAGGGTTTATTCTATTTTATGTTTTTAAAAGTTTTCTGACAGAGTGGTTATTTTCTACATTTTGACTTTAATATGTTTCTTTTTCCTGATTTAATATACAAGGATTTCAAGTTTGCATTTTGTGAATGGTAATTTGACAATGTGTTTTATTGTTTTATGAAAAAAAAAAATTATTGCTCAAAGAATGTATTTCATTTTTGTATTTTAATTATTTTAATTGCTATTTGTAACCTCTTTTTATTTAGATTTAGGTTTGATTCTGTGTAAAAGGATATTTCACACTTATTTTATATTGTGTTTAGTTTGACTTTAAGTATCATGGTTTTGTAATGTTTTATTCCTGGTTTTACGGGACTATCATTATGAGTAAATGCTTTGCTACAGCAACAGTAAGATACACCAATTTCTTGACAGATACACAAGATGTGTTTAATTGATCTTTATGTTTTAATGTTAGGGACAGCCAGGGTGTCTTGAAGATAAATGGGGGAAAGCATACTACATGTTTTATATTCCTTTATTTAATATGGAGTGTTGTTTTAATGTCAAATTATGGTCACAGAAATTGCTAAGTTCCTTTTGCCCTAGTTACCAACTGAACTGGGTTACTGAACTAAGGTGTCACATGCACTATTTAATGGCATAGGTTTCTATTAAGAAGTGAATGGTATGTGAAAAATGATCTTTTCTACTGGCAGGCCAGGTGATGCCTCAAAAATACAACCTTCTTTTTTTTTGACAATGGAAATGACCAACAGTTATGTGGGTTGTGGCTACATCACAAGAAGAATGGCAATATTATTTTATGTATATAATGTATATACTCAGTCTGTTACAGATTATGAGTGGACTATTGAGAGATCTTAACAGATTATTTCACATTCTTAAGTAAAGGTGCCACAAAATACACTTGTTTAACTTTGTTTTTAGATTAAATAAAGATTATGTCACTGTATCTCACATTGTGTCCAGTTTCTTTCTTTGCTTCAAACTAAGTAAAGATCACAGGATTCTGAATCATTTTGTTATACATTTTTTGTCAAGACCTCTTGCCATTCTGTGGCTCATAACCAATTACTTTTAAAGGAAAATCAGTGCATATGAGAATACTACATAACTTAGCAGTGAATGCAGATTATATGATATGGTTTAGAAATAATCAGTTTATTTTTCAAAGACAATGTCACAGCTTTGTAGTCTAAAAAAACTGTTTCAAATTTAGCAGCAGTCAGCTAACTATGAAAGGTTTTTTGATAACATACCTTATGAATCAAAAGATATTTATGTACATGTACATGCTTGTTTGTTTGTTTCTTTGAAATTAAGCACAAAGCTACACAATGGGCTATCTGTGCTCTGCCCACCACGGGTATCGAAACCCGGATTCTAGCATTGTAAGTCCGCAGACATACCGCTGTGCTACTGAGGGGCACATGTACATGCATACAGAAGGCAGCTTTGTTGAAACTGAATATTAAGCTGGCTTAACACAAGTCTAAATAGCCATCTTAAAATATTTCATTTATAAATAATTCATGATACAGCTGTTGTTACTTTGGCAATGAAAGGTAATTTAGCTTGTAATAGGAGCTCATATTAGAGTTTTGGTTTTCTAATCAAAGCTAATTTGTTTACTCTCTTAATATGACATCAAGCTCAATTTGTTTGCACTAGCATAGCAGAAAAAAGTAAAATTTTATATAAACTTAAAAACCATATATAAAAATCACCATTCCTGAAGCATTACCAATCAAGGAGTCATACAAACAAAGAAACAATCTGGATGATCTTACAGTTGATATAAAGAAAGTAGGTGAAATTTTAACATATTATTATGCCGATCATCTATTTCTTTCGTTTAGAAAGAGATGTGAATAATGACCTGTATAGCATTCATTGACCATGTACTTTGATACTTTATTCAGTACAATTAAAAAATTTTCAGGCATGCTCTAGCTGCACACTATATTTTTAACATTTTACTTGCGCAAGTTATTCCAATTCTTATACAATAAGTTAACATTTTATATTAAATAAAGAAAAAATTAAATCATTGAGGGTATAAAGGAAAAATTAAACACATAAAACAAAATCTTCATTTCTGTTAAATTCAATTATAAAGTCTTAATGAACAAAACTCAAATCAAATCAGTAAATACAAATGAAACTCTTTGCATGTATTTGAGGGTCACCTGGATTTTGAATGAGTGAAGAGACTTAATTTACTTTCCTCATGCAGACCAGAGTTTAAATTTTAAATGTGAAGATTGTAGAAAATTAGCTAACTGATTTTATAAATTGCATTAATTATGATTTAAACCTTATTATAACTCCCAAAATAAAAAAAATTTCAATAATCCATTAAAACATTATCCATTTGTTTTTTCAGTAGTTTTCTAAAGAATGCAAAAGTGCATTAATACATCCAAATAAGCTTAACACTTTGAATTCTAAAGTGATAATAATTTTTTAATAAAAAGCAGTTATCTCTCATATTAATGTAAACTTTTTAGGTCTCTTCATTCATTCTATGACTTTTAAGTGTTTAATTCCTATTAAAACCAGCAAAGAACATATGGTATAAGCATACCAAAGGCATAAGTATCGTAAATAAAAATATAACTATAAAAACATTACAGTTTAAAATAAAAAGGTTGGTGTAAAAACATTACTTTTTAAAAATATCGTAGTGCAAAGAAAGTATTCCATATTTAAATTCATTCATTTCTCTAGGTTTTTATGGCTTAGAACAAATAAAAGAGAGAAATTATGTACATGGAAGAATAAGGGAGTAGAAACAAGGAAACAATAGTAGGACATAAGAAAAAGACATTCACATGGCATAAGTGTAGTAACAAAAAAAGACAATGTTTTTGTTAACAAGATATCAAATATTTGGCTTTTGTACTACTTCAAGACTAACAACTTTGATAAGATCTTATGACAAAAAAAACTTCAAAAATGTTTATGTATATGATAGAATTAGGCATTTTTTAACTTCCAATGAAATTGATATGGAAGAAATAAGATAAAAATTATGAAAAGAAAAATCAACATATTACAGTTAAATTGAATGCAAATTGTCTTAAAAACAAAACCACAAATGACTACATTCTTGAAAATTAGGATGGAAATATGTGAAACTAATATAAAACACTAATACAGCATGTGAAATGTATGGCTGTAGGTAACATATATATATATATACTTATAAATGAGCCAAAATGTCCAAAAACTAAGAACTGAAATACTTATTGTAAGTCAGAAGTAAAAATAATACATACAAAAACTAGACTTCAGAAATTATTAAGATAATCTGTACATGCTTTCTCACAAAAGATTGTAGTTTATTAAGATATATATATACATGTAAGAAAACAACCACATTTTTATCTTATTTTGATTTCACTGTTCAACATGCTTATCACAATTCTGCATTATTTGAGTAGCAGCATTTTCAAACTACACTTGTAACTGATTTCAGTAAGTTACATGAACCCTATCTGTATCTCAGGAGGTTACAAATAATCTTAACATTCTAGATAGTAGTTAAATAAAATCATGTGAGGCTATAACAAGTGAGACAAATTGATTTAATATGTTCAAAATATATGAGATATACTAAAGTTTTAAAGATATATTTGAGTGATAAATATCAGAATGAATAAATACACTGACTTCTGAAAATTCACAAATAATAATTACTTTTCAAAAACACACCGAAGATAAGGTGCACAGCAGTGACATAATAGAAAAAAAAAAGATGTATGCATGCAGTTTTGCTACCAAGTGCCATGTGCATGAAGTGCTTTGTAGTTCGTGTTCCACTTTCATCTGTGTCAAGATATTAAAGTTTGCATGTTTTTGTGAAACTTTGATGGACAAAATTGCCTTTTAAAATAATTTGCATTAGAATAAGGTCTTAACTTTGGATAAATATACTTAGGTATCAATGGATTGATTGAGATTAACAAATCCTTATCATACTAATATCTAACATATTTATGATTGTCCACTGCACCTTATAATTAGAAATTAAAGAAAATGTCAAACAATGCAAAAGACAGAAGAGAAAGCCCATAAAGACAAAAATAACAAACCTGATTTACTACTACCTGATATACTGCATAATAGTCTCAAAGTTGGGGCATTTCCACTATATTGATTGATCATGCCCTTAGTTGCTGTCTGTGGTACTGGGATAGTCAGAGTGATGGGCTTGTGAAATTTTCTTCTTCTTGGTTCTACAGTGACAATTGGGCTCACTCCCACACGGTTGCCCAACATTTTAGATACAAGTTCTGGAACAACCGGGTGTGCCTGTGGGATGACACAATTGTGGTGCCATTGTGAAGAAAAGTAGGGAAAACATACACATTGTGAAAATGTGAAATAGAGAAATAATAATAGTTAAAGTTTCATGCAGTTGGTTAAAAAACAATTAGAATAAAAAACAAAAACATAAAAAATGAAATGAACATTTTGCACATAACTGCAAGCAAATAAAGACATTGAAATTTAAGTTGTTTTAGAAAAATTGGTTTGATTTGTTTTGAATTTCACACAAAGCTACATGAGGTCTATCTGCACTAGCTGTCCCTAAGTTAGCAGTGAAAGACTAGAAGGAAAGCAGCTAGTCCTCACCACCCACTGCAAACTCTTGGGCTACTCTTTTACCAACAAATACTGTGATTGACCATCACATTATAATGCCCCCATGGCTGAAAGGGCGAGCATGTTTGGTGGGATTTGAACCTGTGACCCGCTGATTGCGAGTCAAGCTTCCTAACCACCTGACCAATTTTAGGCCACTTTAGAAAGAAAACAGGAAAACACAAATTATAAAATTAGTACAAAAAAGGGAGTAACAGTATGAGCCAAACAAATGTTGTTATGTAACTGGTTTTATGTAAAATTCTGTTAATGGCAATGAGAGATAAAATAATGTTATGTTAAAATAAGATCTAGGTAGTACAAAAAACTTAAATTGTGTATTTGAGCATTGTTTTACTAATTAGGCTAGAATGATTTATGGGTCATTTAAATACCTTAATAAGTTATTAACAAAGTCACAAAAATAATTCTGTGTTCTGTATAACTTCATCTCTAAAGATACAGTTACATTACAATTAATATTACACATGCATCATGTTGTTTTGTGTAAGTTTAGCTAATTAACATTTTACAAGAAACAATATAAGGTATATGCTCTTAAAAATATTTTACAGTGAAGTTTTACTGGATGACCTTTGCAAATCTTTCTAAATACAGTATTTATATATAACTATAAGTAAAATATCTGCAATTATAATTGTCAAATATAGTTTCTGCATGGTAAAGTTTACAAAATACATAAAAGAAAGTTGATGATAAGTTAGTATTATGAAACAAATCTCTGTTGTTATCGCATATGAGCTAACACAAAAGTAGTCTGCATGATAACATCAATCTGTGACACAATATAATAAAGTACACTGTTTAGTAACCATGTTTATATTATAAACACACATATGCCACATATCTCAGAAAAACAAAAGTTCCTATCTTGATTCTATTCTGGACTTCTAAGAATATAATGCACTTAATAATAAATAGTATAAATGAATCAGTGCATTTAAGCTCTATGTTAAAGTAACCTGCTAGTATATAAGCACTGACTTGCTTTGCTGTAGGACCAGTACATGTTGCCAATAAATGTCAGTACACTGTTAGTTTGTATGAAGTATGTTCCAAAACAAAATTGTCCAATTAAGTGTCTTGGTTTCGTCAAATTTTACTAAGTTGAAAAAAATAAATTTCATTCTCTTCTAACAATTAAAGGTGTAGAAAATTAAGTTTTTCTTTGCAGAATTAATTTTTCTGTTGCTTTGTATACACAAGTTATAAGATTTGTTTATTTGTTGCTTTTCAGCACAGAGATACACAATGGGCTATCTGTGATACGCTCATCATGAGTATCTAAATCAGATGTCTAGCATTATAAGCTCTCAAACTAAACACCAGAAAACCAAGTTGTGGGAAGGAAAAACAATGCTCACAATAATAATCACAATACAAATTATAAAATTTTACATTTTCATTAATAATTACTGAGAAAAATCAAAAATTAAAAATCTGGCTCATTTTGGTGCATGTGTATGATTAACTTGAAGTTTTTAACATTTATTAAGAAAATGTGAATAATATTTTCACTACATAAAGCCATAGTTTTGAATAGCTGTTTTTCTTTTTCAGATTGTTTGTAGATGAAGGTTAATTTTCATTAGATAGTCATTCAAATATAAATTGTGAAATTAATTTAACATTATGTTTTAGGTTTTTTGTAAATAGCATATATATTTGTTGAAACAAGTTTACTTAAGCTAATTTTTTATGATTGTTTTTTAGTTGACTGTATATGTTGAACACTAATTTTTTTGTAAAGTATACTTTAAGGCTATGCTTGAATCAACTGTAAGCCTAGTATATATTGAACATTACTTTTAACATGTGGGGTAAGGCTAAGTTCACTTTTTTTAGTTAACTATAATTGCAGCATATGTTGAACATTAATTTTTCTTGTAAAATGTGTTTAAGATTATGTTTTTATAAAATTTATTTATTGTATATGTTAAAATTCTATTTTTTTTATTTTATAACGTGTTTTAACATCCAGCTTTTGAGTAACAGAAAAATGTTTAATGGGTTGATTTCAAAGCAAAGCTTTCCAGTATTCTCTCTAAATTTTTTAACTCTAAAAACAGAGATATTAACTCCTTACAATATCTTGAATTTGAATTTCCCACCACTGTGACCAAATTTACACTAGTGCTCATGCCATAAAGGAATAAAACCCATACCCCAATGTAAAACTCCACACAAAAAAAATTTTAGTGTTCATGAGTTCTGTCAATAAAGATGGTCAAGAAAGTCTCAACAAAACTTGCTTGCCACTGTAAAGAGGCTAAGTATGGTACTTGCCTGAACATGAGTATTTCTATTATTTTGTGCAATAGGAACACAGTCCAACCAACTCCCCTCAATTCTGCATCTTCATGGCCAAACAATATTGAGAGGTGAGTTCTTCTGGCAGTAGCATGTGGTTTTTTTTAACTTAAAAGATTTAGCTTTTTATGGAAGTACATTTTTTGGTTCTAACTTGAATACCAAAAACCATGACACCTCTCTGTAGCCCAACCAATCTCACAAATTTAGGCTCACTGACTTGTTGACAGGATGTTAAGCAGATATACTGCTCACATCTGTACAAATGTTTGAGCTCTACCGTACTTATAGACAGCATTTCCATTGTCCTGGGTCGAAATGTTAAAAACATTTTCAAATCCCTTAATTATGTACATGTATGCTAAAACAAAGAAATTGTACTCTAGCCATATTCAGGAAAGGCACACACAACTAGTTCTTCCTGAAGATAAAAAATTGTGTTACCATGCAAGATAGTCATGTCAATGCACTCATTACCTTTGTAGTTACCAAAGCAGAAATGGAGAATACTGCTACAAACATCTTATACAAATATACAGACAGCTCAATGGGGGTGATTCATGTTTTCATTATTTTTCTTAAGCAAGGGAGACCATTGAGATCAATGGATCTTTCTAAATTCCTGAAGTAAACAGTATGTCTCATAGTCTGACTTTATTTAAAGTGACATTAGCTACATTAACCACTAATGTAAGTTAGTAAACAGAGTACATATTTTCCCAGAAGTGTCCAAGTGTTACAAAATCCACTTCTTTTTCACCACGATGTATTGGTTCTTTAACTATCCTTCTACCTATGTTTTTGTAAGTTTCTCTTGTGTTGTTTTTATGGCTATAAGAACAATAAAATAATTATTTTATTTTGCACCTATGAAGTGTACATCAGACTATTAAAGCCTGTCATACAGTACCATCATAAATGGAAAACTGATATCTGAAGTTATATCAAAGTCACCAAAGTCACAGTAGAATGTAAAGGGTATAGTTCTTATTTACATTATTCCATTGCCATATAGTGAAATGTGGTTGCTGATGTAAAATGGAAACAGGACCTAATAGGCAAATACTGCATCTGATAAATGAGTCATGGCTAAAAGGTTCTTTTGATAATGCAGGAATTTCAAGTACTGTCTTGTTCTATCACCTTGTGAACAAGATATGCAAGTTATGAAATGAAAAACATCTCACAAAGAACAGAAGGATATAGCTACTGGGACAATTTTTTTTTTCATTAGGAGTAAAAGTAAAACTAGTAATAAAAGTAGATATTCCCAACATTAATCCATGGTTTGAAAAGAAATGTCTTTCTTATTAAAATTTTCACACATAAAATAAATCCCAGAATAAAGAAGTTTTGCTGACAAATAAAAGAATATATACCTTAAGGTAGCATTAAATAAATAGTGCATTTGGCATTTATAATGACCCTTGGATATAATGACATGATGCTATTTGGCTAGCAAGTTGGTTGCTTGTAATAGTGTTCATTGCATAAACAGTAGGTATAAAGTATACATATTAAGGGATCTGAAATATGGTGCTTGGAACAAAGCATTTGATGATGCAAGAAGTGAAAAGTAGTGCAAGAAACTTGTCCTTTCTTTTTTGCATATATTTTTAGGAATTTGTAAAAATAAATAGAATTATACTCAACAACAGCCTATTTAAGAAACAAAATGTTGAACAGAATATTATTACAGTCTTGAACAATTTGACTATTAATTCTGATGATCTCACAGATGTGTATTCTTTACACTTATTTGAAACAATTTTCTTTCTGCTGTGTAATTCATTCAAGTGAGTAAGTTATATTTTTAAAAATTAAAAAGAAAATATACTGATTAAGAAAAAAGAAATGTTCATAACAGTTAAAAGTAAATAAATATAGATAATAAGCCTCAACAGGTCAAGTGACATTAAACATCATTAATGAACAAACCAGTAAAATCAAGTTTGCCATTGCACAAAACTGACAAAAGGGTGTATCTGGTACAGCTTACAGTGTTATTCAAATGCTCAAAACTGCTAGAAATTCTAGAAATTTTAATATCCTTTTACATTAAATCCATTTCGATTTAGAGATACTCTTAACTATGAGTATTAAGTATTTACTGAGTAACATCTGTTTTCCTATCCATACTACTTGTTGGCATCTAAAATTTGTTTTTCAGTTTGGACTGCACAATGAAAATTAAAAATTAAGGGACTTTCCTGAGGGTTACACCCCAGCATTATTAGAAGTTTTCAAACGAAGTCACACTTATAAAGTTTCTAGCCACACTCTGAAGCAAATTTTAATGACGAATACATAATTTTTTTAACAAAATATAAAAGAGT